CTAAGTACTGGTCGTCATTTATTGCTTTAGACGGTTAAAGTATCTAAAATAACCGCATACGTTTGTACAAATCTTTAAGTCTAAGTACTGGTCGTCATTTATTGCTTTAGACGGTTAAAGTATCTAAAATAACCGCATACGTTTGTACAAATCTTTAAGTCTAAGTACTGGTCGTCATTTCTTGCTTTTAGACGGTCAAAGTATCTAAAATAACCGCATACGTTTATACAGATTATCAGTTAGACGTCCCAGTTTTTGTTTATTCCCTAAATAAATCGAATCCCTTTTTCCGTTTTGATCAGCTTGGTTATTTCTATGCAAACAATGATCGTTTCGACGTTATTTTATATTGAACCTATACAAGAATACAAACGTCTCGTAATTTTCAAGCACAACTCTTTACAACGGTTGTTATGAAAGTAATCTTTCACAGTCTATATGATTTTATGTAAATGTTGTATCATCATAAAATTTAGAGAAAGCTTGCTAAGCAATTATTTCTGATCTCACGAAAAGAAAACAAGTACAAATAACTGAGAAAAATGTTACTTCGCATTTCCAAAGTTTGTTTTGTTTCAGTGCAAAAGCTGCAAAACGAGCTCTCTGCACTGTGCCCAACGAAGGGATAGGTACCCGAATTTTAGCGTTATCAGCCCTCGTCTTTACCACTGAACCACTTGGGGATGGGGGACAAAATCATCAGGCAACATTATTAACCTCTAACCTCTATTAACCTCTATTTCAAACATTCCCTTTATTAAATAAAAATTGCAACTTAGTGAAATGAAGCAACACGTTTTTAAAGCTAATCATAGAGTTCATACTTTTGTCCAAACATCTCATAAGAAAAAAAGTCAGTTCTAACAAACTATTTGGAAGGAAATTCTCCCGGAAGAACACAGAGGAAGATCTGTATGTTTTTATTTATTTACTTCTGTCTATACTTTACACGAAGATGAACAAAGAAAAGGCGAGTGTATAGTTTATAAATGTACTATAAGAAATCGATAGCTTGAGCCGAAAATATTTCGAAGTTTGACTTCTTTTTACTGATTCATTTGGTGTGGATCAACGTAGAAACATACTTTGAAAAGTCTAAGTTCGCGTATAGTGTTCTCTTGTTTTTGTATTATATTCATATAAACCAAATGCTAAACTTACAAACATTAAGAATATAAAATCATTTGACATTTTATACGTTTATTTAGATTTTCCAAATACAATTATTATTATTTAATTGGGGGATTTATTTTTTATTTACTTGTAGTTAAGCATAAAGCTACACAATAGACTATCTGAGCTGCGCCCACCACGGGTATCGAAACCCGGTTTATAGCGTTATTAGTCCACAGAAATACCGCTGAGTCACTGGGAGGGGGGAGGGGATAATTGGAGGAACTTTAAAGTTTGAGAACTTCTTATTGTCCGAAAAGTCTGGAACCATAGACACTTCAAATAAGTTTACAAAATGTGTTCCACATGCTGTCTTTGTAATTCTAAACAAGTTTGGATTAACAGCAGGATTAATTCGACCTTCTAATGCTTTGACAGCGCCATAATCAGTCACTTATCTAATATTAAGAAAAGCTACAAATCACCTATGGTTCCAGACTTTTTGGGCTCCCTGTATTATAATGATCTTAGTTATGTACGTTTTCCAGAACTTAGCCGAAACCAAAACATAAGACACGAAACCTAGTTTAAGCTGTCTTAAGAGTCACAAAGCTTAGCCTAAACTTGACCACGAGACAAAAAACTCACTTATAAAACTTCAATTATAAAACTCGAAACATAGTTAGCCCTAAAGTATAAAGCAGAAACTTTATAAATAATGTACAATTAATTAGTCAGCAAGTTAAAAAGGTGTTTTATATGTGTGTGAGTATTATGTTAAAAAGGTGTTTTATATGTGTGGGAGTATCATGTTAAAAAGGTGTTTTATATGTGTGGGAGTATTATGTTAAAAAGGTGTTTTATATGTGTGTGAGTATTATGTTAAAAAGGTATTTTATATGTGTGAGGGTATCATGTTAAAAAAGTGTTTTATATGTGTGTAAGTATTATGTTAAAAAGGTGTTTTATATGTGTGTGAGTATTATGTTAAAAAGGTGATTTATATGTGTGGGAGTATCATGTTGAAAAAGTGTTTTATATGTGTGTGAGTATTATGTTAAAAAGGTGTTTTATATGTGTGTGAGTATTATGTTAAAAAGGTGTTTTATATGTGTGTGAGTATTATGTTAAAAAGGTGTTTTATATGTGTGAGAGTACTATGCTAAAAAGGTGTTTTATATGTTTCTGAGTATTATGTTAAAAAGGTGTTTTATATGTTTCTGAGTATTATGTTAAAAAGGTGTTTTATAATATAAAACACCTTTTTAACATAATACTCACACACACATTTTTAACATAATACTCACACACACATATAAAACACCTTTTTAACATAATACTCACACACATATAAAACACCGGTGTTTTATGTGTGTGTGAGTATCATGTTAAAAAAGTGTTTTATATGTGTGTGTGAGTATTATGTTAAAAAGGTGTTTTATATGTTTGTGAGTATTATGTTAAAAAGGTATTTTATATGTGTGTGAGTATTATGTTAAAAAGGTGTAGGTTTATTATGACGAAGCTTGTTAGTTTTTAAATGTGAAACTGCTCAATAAGCCATGTGCGCTGTGCCCATCGCGAAAGATCGAATCCTAGATTTTAGAGTTATAAGCCCTATAGCTTACTACTCAGCCACCGAGGGAGATGTATTAAAGAAGAGCAAAAAAAAAAAAAAACAAGACTGAATAATGATACATAAAATAAAGGTGTTACCAATAAAACTTCCCGGATGAAGTCTGTTTGGTTTTGGCGCCTTTGCCATTTGTTTGGCTATAGTGGTACGTTGGGTTAACTAAGATATTTCTCAGACAACGAATGTGCTGTCACGAAACTCATTTGAAGACGAAAACAAGTCATTTGGAAGAAATACAAGGGTCACTTGAATATACTGTCTACCGCCTGCTCCTGTATGATCACATCTCTAGTAGACAATGCTTAAAAGTGACTTATCCAAGTACATGTTGTATGCGTGATATCCAAGAATTTAAACAAGTGGGTTTTGGAAAATAGTCCAGTGTTATACCTTGCAAGGTTATTTGTCTACGTGTTTGTTGTTAAGCACAAACTACACAATGGGTTGTTTGTGCTGTGCTCACCTTGGGTATCAAAACCCGGTTTGTTTTAGATCAAAGCCACATTGAGCTATCTCCTGTGTCCCCCGCGGGAAATCGAACCCCTGATTTTAGCATTATAAGCCCATAGACTTACCGCTGTCCCATCGAGGGACAAGACCCGTTTTTAGCGTTAAACACCTTCACCCTTACCGCTGAAACCACTGGTGGGAGAGGAGGGGGGGACTGTAAAGTTGTAATAACCAATTACGGTTTGTTTTGAACAAGTATTGTAATCTGTTGTAAAGAAATGTTTGAAAACTTTTTAAAACGATCAGCTATTATTGATATAAAATCTTTCTTTTTTTCTCTCTCTCTCTCTCTTAAGATCAACGGAATAATCACTAACACCGGACATGGGATCGTGTTCAAAACTAATTCTTCGGGCAAAGCAACAGCAGTCCACATCAACAATGGACCTCTGTCTTACAAGTACCGTGTAAATGAGGTACATTTACACTTTGGGAGTAGCGAGAAAGCTGGATCAGAACACACCGTAGCTGGGCAAACCTTCCCGGCAGAGGTACGTGATTTGTAGCAAAATTTTCACATAAAAAACTTGTTAGCGAAGAACCTTAAATACGTCCAAAGAATTGACGATGTAACGTACACGAACGGAAACCATTTAGGTAAAAATCGATACGGTGAAAATAAGAATCTCAACAATATTACTCGTTATATTGTTTTTTATTGTTGTATTGTTATTGTTGTATTGTTATTGTTGTAGAAGTTAGGACTATTTGAAAACGACGGGACATTTAGGGTCTTAAGGTTTTAAACTAAGCCTTAGATTGTCCACCTGTTCTTAACTACCCATGAATTTAACGATGTCCTAGTGTAAGTAAATATTAATAGTTCACACAGATTCACGCCCTTCTATTCTTATGACCCGTCGTAAAGAGTTGACTTGACAGTTGAAGCTTATTTAGTATAACTCCTTTTTAAAATGAAAAATATTTTTTTTAATTGTGTCTCTGAGTTGGAGTTGAGGTAAAATTGGATGATATTAGTGGTGAAATAAACATTGTTAAGATGATGTTCTCTGGATAGTTGAGAAACAATAACCATTTCCATCACCGTTGTTTTTCATTTAAAGGGTTTCTGTTGTTATAATATAACAATAATAACACAACAATACAACAGTAATAGTACAACAATAACAATACAGCAATAATAATATAACAATAACAATACAACAATAATAATATAACAATAATAACACAACAATAACAATATAAAGTTCTCTTTCTCTCTCATCTGCTACTTCTAGCCATAATTATTAATAACTGTCGTTTTCTACTACTTCTAGCCATAATTGTTAATAACTGTCGTTTTCAACTAGCCCTAATTTCAGTTCTCTTTCTCTCTCACATTTTTCTCTCAATCTACTACTTCTAGCCATAATTATTAATAACTGTCGTTTTCAACTAGCCCTAATTTCAGTTCTGTTTTTCTCTCAATCTGCTAATTCTAGCCACAATTATTAATAACTGTCGTTTTCAACTAGCCCTAATTTCAGTTCTCTTTCTTTCTCAGTCTGCTACTTCTAGCCATAATTATTAATAGATGTCGTTTTCAACTAGCCCTAATTTCAGTTCTCTTTCTTTCTCAGTCTGCTACTTCTAGCCATAATTATTAATAACTGTCGTTTTCAACTAGCCCTAACTTCAGTTCTCTTTCTCTCTCACTCTGCTAATTCTAGCCATAATTATTAATAACTGTCGTTTTCAACTAGCCCTAACTTCAGTTCTCTTTCTCTCTCAATCTGCTAATTCTAGCCATAATTATTAATAACTGTCGTTTTCAACTAGCCCTAACTTCAGTTCTCTTTCAGTCTCTCTTTCTAACCTGAACTAAACTGTTCTAACATCAGTATTGATAAGCGTGTAGTATCACGAACACTCTACCATGACGTTGTCCTATACGCTTCCAGAAATGGTCTCAAAAATCCAATAAAGATTGTTGTGATATCCAGACGTCCTCCTCTCTAGTTCAGGATTGTTCGTTTCAAGCTATGTCACAGAAGCTTTCTTCCAGGGGATTTGAAACTAAGATGCTCATATTTACATTACGTATAGTTACTATTGATATTTTAAGGTGTTCTTCCGTAGATTCACGTGCGCTTCAAATAAACTGAATAGTTTTTTTGAAGCGTGGTAACTTTACCGGAGATAAATGTTTTCTACTTTGTTTGGGTTTAGTTCAGTTTGTCACTTTTAGGTGCAGATTCTGGGATTCAACTCTGACCTTTACGAAAACATTTCGGAAGCAGTAACAAAGTCTCAAGGTATAATTGGGATCGCCCTTCTAGTACAGGTAAGAAATATATATACTTTCCACAAAAATCGCGAAAGGAGTAAAAGCTTATAGGGATCGTTAGGATCGCCCTTCTAATCCAGATATAAAAATAAACCGTTTCCACAAACATCTCGAAAGCAGTAAAAGCTTAAAGGGATCGTTAGGATCGCCCTTCTAATCCAGATATAAAAATAAACCGTTTCCACAAACATCTCGAAAGGAGTAAAAGTTTCAAGGGATCGCTAGGATCGCCCTTCTAATCCAGATAAGAGATATATACACTTTTTTACAAGCATCTTAGACGGAGTAAAAGATTCAAGGGATCGGTAGGATCGCCTTTCTAATCCAGGTAAGAAATAAACAAATATTCACTGGGGATTTTGTAAATGAAAACATCAACTAAGATACAGTTCTAAAGGTTAATTTATTGTCGAAAATGCTATTTTTTTAATACTGTTTGATTTGAGTTATCTTCGTGTAGAGGAATTCTCCAGAGCCAGAAGTACTTCATCTATCCATAACTGTGTTTATATGATACAGACTTCAAGATATAAAATTATCAGATTTTGAATTAATTAATTTTTTTTCGAGAAAACTCAGAAAAAAAACGGAAGGAAATGTGCCAGGTTTTGTTTGTTTGTTTTGAATTTCGCGCAAAGCTACACGAGGGCTATCTACGCTAGTGCCGTTCCTAATTTAGCAGTGTAAGACTAGAGGGAAGGCAGCTAGTCATCACCAACCACCGCCAACTCTTGGGCTACTCTTTTACCAACGAATAGTTGGGATTGACCATCACATTATAACGCCCCCAGGACTGAAAGGGCGAGCATGTTTGGTGGGACGGGGATTCAAATCCGCGACCCTCAGATTGCGAGTCGAGTGCCCTGACTACCTGGCCATGCCGGGCATGTGCCCGGTAGTAGTGACTGATAAAATTCTTGACATTTTAACGATAAAACACTTTGTCTTGAAATGTTTAAAAATACAAGAATGTGAAACTTCTCCACAAAATTCTACTTGAACTTTTGGTAAATATAACATGCACGAAAAATATTCTTTATCGTTTTCAAAACTATTAAGGGCCATTTAACAAACAAAAACAAACAAACTTTTGTTATTTTGTGAACAAGTCTTTTTTTTTTTTCACATCTCCAATTTTTATATGATTTTATTTATATTCTATTTCATTCAAAAATTCACTTGTTGTCAATTGTTTTTTAAATTAAGCCTTTTATCCACGTGTGGAATATTTAATCTTTCCTGCTTTTTGAGTTTCCCGGTTTTTAAATAATATTGTTTAAATATTTAGAAAGAAGGTACACGTGTTCCGGACTGTGAATCAGATGGCCCGTGGCTTATTTTCCTTTACCACAAACAAACAAACAAACAAAAAATAGCGTTCCACACTTTGGGACCGTGGGTGCGTTATAAGTGTGACGGTCAAATCCCACAATTTTGCTAGAGTAACTCAAGAGTTTGCGGTAAATATTGTTGACTAGCTGCCATCCCTCTAGTCTGTAAGGTCAAAATTAGCGACGTTTAGCTCAGATTGTTCTGTTTTAGCTTCGCGCGGATATCCGAAACGAGCAAACAAACAGGTCTGTACAATAGCTTGGTTTTGGCACTTACTTCTATAACGGAGAAATGATTTTAATTTTAAACTAATCTCTCAACAAGATTGTTTTTGAAGTTTAATAAAACAATTTAGATAATATATCACACTCTGCACGATAGGCTATATGTGTTTTGTCCACAGGGGGAACTCGAGCCTCAAATTTTAGCCTTGTAAGTTTACAAACTTATCACTGACCCATCGGGGGAGACCTAAACAATAGCTCCTTTATCAGGCTGTAAATTAAGGCTTAACACTTTTTTTTAACTTCGACAATAACTAAAGCATTAAATTCCTAATTTATTTGGACTTTAATTAAAACAAAGCCGTTTGAATGTTAATTAAGAGAATGTTGTTATTGTTTTATTTTCATATTAATTACATACGTCGCTTCTTTTTACTCATAATTTAATTAAAACGAACCACATCTCTTGTTACCTATATGTGAATTAAAACACATTACTCATTTTTTACCTGAACGTTAATTAAAACAGGCCACTAATTATTTTACATGTCACTCATTTTGTACATGAATTTTAATTAAGACACACCTCTGCTCTTTCCACCTGGGTTCAGGCGTGGCCCACTAGTTAGCATTCTATAGTGTGGATCCGTTGGTCCAACGTTCGCGTCCCGTTACTACAAAAACAATTACACTCTGCAATTTATGGTTGTGTGCGCTTTATAGACAGGCGCGGTCAAATCTCACTATTTGATTAAAGTAGCCCAAGAGTTGGCGGTGGGTGCTATTGCCTAGCTGCCTTCACGCTGATCTATTAGCTCAAAATCAGTAAGTGCTAGTACACATAGCCTTTATATACTATTACGTGTATATCCGAAAATAAGCAACCTTTTTACTGAAACGTTACTTAAAACAAGCAACCTTTTTACTGAAACATTAATTAAAACAAGCAACCTTTTTACTGAAACATTAATTAAATCAAGCAACCTTTTTACTGAAACGTTACTTAAAACAATCAACCTTTTTTTACTGAACTTCAGTTGGCTCGTACGTCAACTCCGTACCACTCTCTGCTTCACTGCAGGAGCATAGCGAGCACTAAGGAGTTGTATGGAAGGCTGCTCGTACGTCAACTCCGTACCACTCTCTGCTTCACTGCAGGAGCATAGCCAGCACTAGGGAGTTGTATGGAAGGCTGCTCGTACTTCAACTCCGTACCACTCTCTGCTTCACTGCAGGAGCATAGCCAGCACTAGGGAGTTGTATGGAAGGCTGCTCGTACTTCAACTCCGTACCACTCTCTGCTTCACTGCAGGAGCATAGCCAGCACTAGGGAGTTGTATGGAAGGCTGCTCGTACTTCAACTCCGTACCACTCTCTGCTTCACTGCAGGAGCATAGCCAGCACTTGG